TACTCTTTAACCGCCATGCCGAACAATAATGTTAATCAATCTGTACATAGATATAGTGGCTTTCCATCCAAAATCCTCAAAATGCTGATCCCACCTGTTCTCTATTAATGATTATTTTATACCTCTGCTAAAGACACATGGGCAGAACAATCTAATTATTTGGTTTTGCAGTTCTCTCAGTGAGGCACTGTAGGCTTCTCTTCACCTTTGACACTTGAACCCAGTGGTTCCCAACTTGCAACATGCAGTAGTCTGTGGAGAGCTGGCTATTTACATGGTGCTGGCTCACTTTCTTACCATCTGCATTACAGGGACTAAAGTTATATCAACTTCCTCATATCACTTCTCCATGTAAGCAATTGCTGTAGATGCCACAGAGATTTTATCTGACAAATAATGGGAGAGAGAGTCCATGTGATTGCACATGGGAGCTGAGGTGTGCATGAGCTGATCTCTTTATTATGATGCAGTTCACACTGAGAAACAGTTTGAGAAGCCCTGCCTTAACCTTAAGCCCATTATGTGAAGCCCTGACACTTCAACACGGCTTCAGCACCTCATTGCTATGCTGCCCTGTGACACAGCCTGATGCCTCACACTTCTTGCAGGTAGCTAGAGATAGCAAACTACAATTTTTAAGTAAATACTGAAATTGGTGCCAAGTAAAAGAGATGAAGCATTGTCATTTGGTTTAGCTGGTTAGTTGAGGTGAATCTGACTCTATCTGACAGGTCTTGATCTTTTGACTGGGATAGTGCTGTCTTCTGAATAAACCCAAAGTGTGATTTTGCCTCTCTCTTTGTACCATGACCTCACATAGGGCAGTCTGTGATGTGCACAGGCAGTCTCAGTTGCCAACTGCACTACAACCACCATACATTTCTTTGTAATTTCCGAGAAACATAGTTGTAAGTCACGAGGCTACTCATGGAAAAAAGTCACTGTAAAGTGAGGTGATACACATAAAGTGGTAGGAGTACCACAGTCCATTGTAATGCAGCAATGAAAAATTGCTAGCCAGGAGGAAAACTATTTCTTCAACTGAACTAATTAAGAAAATAATTAAAGACTGTAGTGAGGCGGTGTGGCCTCCCTCTGAGCCAGAGGGGGAGGGACCACTCTCTCCGCCCAGCTGGGTGGAGTCCAGCCGGGCCTGGCCCTCCCAGTGGAAGTTGAGTGGCGGTGCAGGAAGTACAAAAGGCAGAGCCCCTAGCCCAGTGGAGACCAGCAAAATACGTGGAGGCAGACAATCTCAGAGTGCAGGAAAACACAATATGACAGTGAAGAGAGGTGACGGGCTGGAGATGGTAGGTGGCATTAGCTTGCTGAAAGAAGGCAGGAGTCAATGCTCAGGCTGCTGGAGGATCAAACTCATATGCTCCAGCGTATGGTTGAACTGCAGGAAAGGCAGCAGGAGCACAGTCCGCCACTACAGCCCCTGTGTAACCAACTGCCCTCCTTCCCAAGTTCCATAGCCTCCTCACCTAGACGCCCAAGAATGTGGTGGGGGGGCCTCCGGTCACCCAGCCACTCCACCCCAGAGCATTGCCCAAGCAACAGAAGGTTGGCATTCAATAAGTTTTAAAGTGCTGTGTGGCCTTGTCCTTCCCTCCTCCACCACCCCTCCTGGGCTATCTTGGCAGTTATCCCCCTATTTGTGTGATGAATAAATAAAGAATGAATGAATGTGAAGCAACAATGACTATTGCCTCTGCAAGTGGTGATCGAAGTGGGGAAGGGAGGGTGAAACTGGGGAGGGGGGTCCATCAAGGAGAAACAAACAGAACTTTCACACCGTAGCCTGGCCATTCCTGAAACTAGTTTTCAAAGCTTCCCTGATGCGCACCACGCCCTCCTGTGCTCTTCTAACCGCCCTGGTGTCTGGCTGCATGTAATCAGTGGCCAGGCGATTTGCCTCAACCTCCCTCCCCACCATAAACGTCTCCCCCTTACTCTCACAGATATTGTGGAACACACAGCAAGCAGTAATAACAGTGGGAATATTGGTTTCGCTGAGGTCTAACTGAGTCAGTAAACTGCGCCAGTGCGCTTTTAAACGTCCAAATGCACATTCTGCCACCATTCTGCACTTGCTCAGCCTGTAGTTGAACAGCTCCTGACTACTGTCCAGGCTGCCTGTGTATGGCTTCATGACCCATGGCATTAAGGGGTAGGCTGGGTCCCCAAGGATAACTATAGGCATTTCAACATCCCCAATGGTTATTTTCTGGTCTGGAAAGTAAGTCCCTTGCTGCAGCTGTTGAAACAGACCAGAGTTCCTGAAGATGTGAGCATCATGCACCTTTCCCAGCCATCCCACGCTGATGTTGGTGAAACATCCCTTGTGATCCACCAGAGCTTGCAGCACTATTGAAAAGTACCCCTTTCAGTTTATGTACTCGCTGTCTTAGTGCTCCGGTGCCAAGATAGGGATATGGCTTCCATCTATCGCCCCACCACAGTTAGCGAATCCCATTGCAGCAAAGCCATCCACTATGACCTGCACATTTCCCAGAGTCACTACCCTTGATATCAGCAGCTCAGTGATATCGTTGGCTACTTGCATCACAGCAGCCCCCACAGTAGATTTGCCCACTCCAAATTGATTCCCGACTGACTGCTAGCTGTCTGGTGTTGCAAGCTTCCACAGGGCTATCACCAGTCACTTCTCAATTGTGAGGGCTGCTCTCATCTTGGTATTCTTGCGCTTCATGGCAGGGGAAAGCAAGTCACAAAGTTCCATGAAAGTGCCCTTACGCATGCGAAAGTTTCGCAGCCACTGGGAATCGTCCCAGACCTGCAACACTATGCGGTCCCACCACTCTGTGCTTGTTTCCCGGGCCCAGAATTGGCGTTCCATGCCATGAACCTGCCCAATTGACACCATAATGTGCACATTGCAGGGACCTGTACTTTGTGAGAAGTCTATGTCCATGTCCTCATCACTCTTGTCACCACCGCCTCCTCCTCGCTTGGTTTCGCTTTTCTTGCAGGTTATGGTTTTGCATATCCTGCTGGATAACGCGCGCGGTGTTTATAGCGCTCATAATCGCTGCGGTGATCTGAGCGGGCTCCATGTTCCCATTGCTATAGCGTCTGCACTGAAAAAAGGTGCGAAACGATTGTCTGCTGTTGCCCTGATGGAGGGAGGGGCGACTGACGACATGGCTTACAGGATTGGCTTACAGGGAATTAAAACCAACAAAGGGGGTGGCTTTGCATCAAGGAGAAACAGAATGGCCCCCTCAAGGATAGAACTCAAAACCCTGGGTTTAGCAGGCCGTTCATTTCAAGGAGGGAGGGAGGAAGGGAGGAGAAAATGAATACAAAACAAATCTGGTCTATTTCTTGTTTTGATCCACTTCATCTATCTTTATACATCTTGCTGGCAGCAGACAGTGCAATAGGACTGCTGGCCATCGTCGTCTCCTGGCTGCTCGTTAGAAGACGGTGCAGTAGGACTGCCAGCAGGACTGAATCACCATGAGATGAAACTTAAAAGGGAAATGACCTGGCTGAGTCACTCCTATGTCTGCCCAGGCGCCCCGACCGACCTCACCGAGGTCGGCTAAAAGAGCACCCTGGAGTACGGCGACGATGGCTACCAGTCATACTGCACTGTCTGCTGCCAAAAGGCAATGAGCTGCTGCTGTGAAGCAATGCAGTACCATGTCTGCCAGCACCCAGGAGACGTACGGTGACGGTGAGCTGAGCAGGCTCCATGCTTGCCGTGGTATGGCGTCTGCATGGGTAACCCAGGAAAAAAGGCGCAAAACGATTGTCTGCCGTTGCTTTCGTGGAGGGAGACGGAAGGGGGTGCCTGACGACATGTACCCAGAACCACCCGCGACAATGTTTTTGCCCCATCAGGCATTGGGATTTCTACCCAGAATTCAAATGGGTGGTGGAGACTGAGGGAACTGTGGGATAGCTACCCACAGTGCAACGCTCCGGAAGTCGATGGTTGCCTCGGTACTTGTGGATGCACTCCGCCGACTAAATGCACTTAGTGCATTTGTGTGGGGACACACACAATCGACTGTATAAAAAAGCTTTCTACAAAACCGACTTGTATAAATTCGACCTAATTTCATAGTGTAGACATGGCCAAAGTCAGGATAAACTTCCTCAATACAGTTTCTCAGGGAATAAGGTTCAGTACTGGAATTTTCTTGTCAGTCCTGATTAGGGCTCAACAAAGCCTGAAGTCACTTCAATGTCGAAATAATGTCGAAAATCATTACATCAGGACGCACTAGTGAATATTACGAATCTAAACCCCCGAAATGTAATGTACTCTATGACATAATAGTGTCAGTCACACACAACTTGTGTTGCTTCCAGTTGCCAGGGAATGAGTGAGGAGATCAGATACTCAACTTTTGCAAGGAACAAGAGTTGTTTTTAACTAGTTGGCTGTTCACAAGTCCAGCCCAGCCCAATAACTACCCTTATTATTTGCATTTCTTTAGTCACTGAAGAACTGATTAGAAGTTGTAATTGTTTTCTGAAACTTTGAAGCCCTTAAAGTTGTGTGACAGGCCTACTCTAAATGTTGTACAATAGAAGTCTGTTACCAAATTCTAGACTTAATTTATCCAAGAACTTGTTAAAATTCCCTCTGTGCAGTCACTGAATGAATGTGCTTTTGAAGTCATTTACTCACCAATAAATTACAATGGTCTGAAATCATTAGCAACAAAGTAAATTGTTTTAATTGATCTGAACTTCGTTACGACCCAGGAGCTTCATTTCTGTGCAACTGCACTTTCCAAAGGACTACAATAACAAATTAATCTCTCTTGAATCCTGTCATCTTTAAAGTGCTCCCTGCTCTGAAGAGCTTCACAAGAAAAAAACTTGCTAAAGTAAGGGGGCTAAGTAGTTCTCAATGAGTTCAAGTTTCCCTCTGCTGAAATACAGAACAGTTGGCTCCAAAGGGAGTATGAAGTCTGTTCTCTGTTAATACCAGGACAAGTTCACATACCCTTCCCCTTTTACTTGGCTAGTGGTTGTAAAGCACTTTCAGGACACAAGATGTAAAGGCACCTGTCATTCTTTGGTCTACTATTTTATTTCTGGGGAAAGGGGTCAGGAGTGCTAAAGAAGATGCACATTTAACATGGGGAGACGGAAAGCCTGTCTATCACTCTGATGTGCTCCCACTGTCCAACTGTACTGATGAGCCTGGAAGTGCATCCGACCCACTGTTCCTCAGCTGAGGACTCACTCATTGTGACACAGGACTGTACGTGTGCATTTGGGGGGAGAAATGGATCCCAGACTGGAGGTAAGTCAAGGGAAGTGGAGGAAAGAATTTGCTTCCACAACAGAACTTTCTCTAGGGGAAGGTTACTGGCAGTAAAAGTAGAATGAACAGTCTTGGGTCCATGCCCTTGTTCTGGATCTTGCCTGTTTGGGAGCTCAATGGCTGATAGGAAGCCTCGTACTGTAGTTAGTTGTCTTAGATGGCAAGCAGCAGATACGTTAGTATACACTTGAATTTCAAGAGAGCTGTTCATAAGAAAGTTCTGCTGGGCATTATCTATGCTGGGAAATGCATCAGGTCAGAAATGCTTTATCTATGCTTTAACTAGAACACCAGGGGGAAACATGATTTTGCCCTTGGTGTGCGTAAGTACAATCCTGTTTAAAAATGTGTCAGCAACTGATGGCTGACCCCAGGGCACACTCGTGTAAGAAAACATATTAACATGTTTTAGCTGAGAGATAAGCACAAACAGTGAATGTGTTTTTAAACACAACACCCCTTGTTCACACTTATGTTCAGCATTGTTTTAGTGAATGGGTTTCTGACGGCGATGCTTTTGCCCAATACAGAAAAGGTCTTTTAGGGACCAGCTGTTTGCCCATATGCTCACTAGCCAGTGTAGCACTGCTGGTCTGTCAGTTGAAAGCCCATTGAACAGCTTCCCCAATGCTCCACTTTAGAATACTACCTCCCATATTAACTTCCTCTTTGAACAAAGCCATTGTTTTGGATATCACTATCACTGCACTGTATGTAAACAAACACCAGTACTGAACATATGGCCTCATTCTGCCACAGCCCCACATTTACAAGTTGTGCCAGACAGGCTTGATTTTCTTTTTTAACAGAATCACAAAATAAACAGATTAAGTTACCAAGTAGTTGTACTATATGGAGATACTGGAAAGTATTTGCTCTGAGGCCTCACAAAATCAATTAAAAATGACTTGGATCTCAACAAGGTTATATGGATTGAAAAGTGGATGGGAAATCATAAACAAATGGTAATGATAAATGGTGAGGTCCTAAAGTAGGGGAATATATCTAGTGAGATACTACAGGGATCTGGGTTAAACCCATTTTACTGTGTTGCATCCTCAGCTGGTGTAAATCAGTGTAGCTCAACTGAACTCAGTTCTAGAATACTGACAATTAGGTTTGCCAGGCGTCCTGTTTTCGATCGGAACGCCTGGTCGAAAAGAGACCCTGGCGGCCCCCATCGGTGATGCCGACCGGACCATTAAAAGTCTAGTCGGTGGTGCAGCGGGGACCTGAGGCTAAGGCAGGCTTCTTGCCTGCCCTAGCTCTGTGTGATTCCTGGAAGCGACCGCCAGGTCCTAGTGGGCCTTGGTCGCATGGGCAGCCAGGGAGGCTCCACGCGCTGTCCATGCCCCGTGTTCTGGCTAAGCAGCTGCCCCCATTACCCAGGAACCGCAACCAATGGGAGCTGCGGAGGCAGGGCAGCGTGCGGAGGCTCCCTGACTGCGTCTCTGCCTAGGGGCCGCAGGGACCTGGCGGCCGCTTCCTGGAAGCCATGGTAAGCGTCGCTGGGACCCCGCACCACCTTCCGCACCCTAACTCGCTGCCCCAGCCCGGAGTCCTTCCTGCCCAAACTCCTCCCGGAGCCTGCACCCCAAACCCACCCAACACCCCAACACCCTGCCCCAGCCCTGAACCCCGCGCCTGCACCCCCCTGACCCCACTCCAGAGCCCACACTCCCAGCCGGAGACCTCACCACCCTCCACGCCCCAACCCCCTGCCCCAGCCCGGAGCCCTCTCCTGCACCCCAAACCCCTCATCCCCAGCTTTCACCCTAGAACCCACCACCCAACCAGAGCCCTTACCCCCTCCTGCACTCCGAACCCCTCAGCCCCAGCCCAGAGCCCCGTCCTGCACTCCAAACCCCTCATTCCTGGCTCCACCCCAGAGCCTGCACCCCCAGATGGAGCCTGCACCCCCCTTGTACCCTAGTCCCCTGCCCCAGCCCGGAGCACCCTGAACCCCTCATTTCTGGCCCCACCTGGAGCCCGCACCCCCAGCCCAGGGCCCATACCTCCCCTGCATCCCCACCTGCTGCCCCAGCCCGGAGCCCTCTCCCACATCCCAAGCCCCACCCCAGCACTCTCACCCCGAGCTGTAGCCCTCATCCCCCTCCCGCACCCCAACCCCCTGCTCTAACCTGGTGAAAGTGAGTGAGGGTGGGGGACAGTGAGTGACAAAGGGAGCGGGGGATGGAGTGAACAGGGGGGTGGGACCTCAGGGCAGGGAAGGGAGTGGGGCAGGGAAGGGAGTGGGGCAGGGGGCTTTCGGTTTTTTGCGATTAGAAAGTTGGCATCCCTATTGACAATAATGCTTTAGCTCAGTGCAAGAAAGGAAATCTGTGTTTAAAACTAGTCCCATCAAATCTGAAAAAGGCAGAAAGACCCTCTCAGAGGCCAAAGGAAGCAGCTCTGTTCTTGTGTTTAGGGGGCTGAGGGAGAGATGTGTGTGTGAGAGAGAAACTCCTCGTGCTATAAATCCTTGGAAAATGAGAAACCCTTCTGCAATTTACAGCTTTTCTTTTCTTGATGTAATGTTATTGATGTTATGGCAGGCCCCATGTTTGCAATTGCTGTCACATTTCCCCCCAGTTCAAGCACTGAAAGTTGTGTGTACGTGCCAGGGGAACACCCATTTGGAGGGCACCTGTGACTCATTTTAAGGATTAAAACAGCTAAAATGAAAGTAAAAGTAAAGACTGAATGAGAGAAAGAAGGAGGAGAGAAGAAGGAGGAAGGGCTAATAAATAGGGAAAACTCAACTTTAAAATCAACAGATTTGGGCCACTTAGACCAATAGTGAGGTTATTCCAGTGCTGGGCTGCAGGCTGCATGTAGGCTGAGAGTCGTTAACATGAATGCAAGAGGCATGACTGTTCTTTCTCTCCATTGCTACAACATCCAGCTCCCTGTGTCACAAGGTAGTGTTCTCTTTTACGAGCTCTACGTTAAGCAATCCATATGGACGCTTCACCTAATTACTGGATGTTTCATTCACCTATAATTGCATGTGACTTTTTGTAGTTGCCAACCCAGTTTTAAAATTGAAAAGTATTGGTGCATACATGCCTGTATCATCCGCTTTTGCTCACTTTCCACCCAGGTAATCCATTCACCTACTGTAAATCTGTCAGGCACAATGGTTTGTGTGGATGAGCATATGGCCACACACAAGTGCATTCCCTTCCTGGATTGCTGTCAAGCAACTCCCATGCAAAGCTCTGCTAATGCAGCCTCAGGAGTCAGAGCTTCCTGGTGCACGCTCCGTTAGACCTCGTGCCGATCAGGCTCCCTTCTGTCTGGGGCTTTCAGAGTCATTCCGTTTTCGGGTGCTCCAGCTCCTGAATTGGTTTTTTGTTTCTATCTAGGATTTTTATGCACTATTCCCAATTTGTAGTTTAGTGACTTACAAGCAAGCTCCAATACAGCGCAACTTGCAGACAATAGCTACTGATGTGATGATGAGCATATTAAGTTTCAGTACTCATTCCACTCTGTGTCCTTTTATGACCACAGCCTGTCAAGCATGGTTAATCCTTGCAAATGTGCAATGACTTTATGGCAGGCGCTGCAATGAGAGAGGAATGCGCAGGCAGGCATTTCAGTTGGCGGATGCTGTTTCAAGAAACTCTAGTGTTTACATATATTGCAACAAGAATGGGTGACAGTTTTTTAGGAGAATTTAGAAGCTGAAGGCTCAGGGACCAGAGAATAGATTGAAGCTTAATTTCAAGATTTCACTTCATGTAACATTAGCCAAACAGAAAGGTGCAGAGATGCTGCAAATCACGTCATGCAGCACAGCTTTATCCTGTCTGAATAATGGCAGCCTGCGCAAACAAGAGCAAAGAGACGACGACTTAAAACAAACCAGTGCACAGCAACCTAGTTTAAACACGATCACAATGGTATCTCAATTCAACATTAATACTGGGGGCTGCACAGCACAAGTTAAATTCATAAATAGAGAGAAATGGCATCTTTCAAAACCTTAAAGAAAACCAGTCTGAGGCACAACCAGACGAGCTCTCTATTCTCACTGCCTTTGATGGGGCTAATCACCATTCCAAATCAGCATTTGAGCTGAACCCGACATTGAAAATCATACATAATTACCCTGATTAATTTTGCTGAAAACATACAGTGTTTTGTCATAGAAATGTAAACATAACAAGGTGCTGGGGTGACACAAATAGTAGGAACATGCTGCAGCTCAGAAGAAAACGCTCAGATTCTGAGGTTTGAAAGGTTGCATTTAGTGAAAGAGCAGTATTGATTCACACATATATCTACTAATTTCTACAAAGGAAAACAGCAAAGGAAAAATAGTGGGAGTGTGGCTAGTGAGCAGCACTGCACCCTAAAAAATGGATCAAATCATTTATACATCAGAGGAAAATGAAGTTGAACATAATGTAAATGGTGCTTGAAACAGCATCAGAATTACAGACCATCCGTATGTTAAAGTAATGGGGCCAAAGAAGCAGATAGATCACAGGTAGACAGCATCAATATCGGAACACAGGGAACTTCACTAGGTTTCTTGGGACTGAATTATTTAAAATCCAGTACAAGAAATAAAAAAGGAAGCACATTACAAGGAGGCTGGAAGACAGAAAGCTAGAGTTAGGAATTCCTTCCTTCCCATCTTTGTGTAACACCAACATTACAGAACAAATTGATGTAGCCCTAGAAACAAGCTCACCATGAGTACCTAGAGAAAAGAAGTCGTTTTTGTAAGGTGAGAGCAGGAGCTGAATTCCAACAGCTCAACCCACTAATCTCACTGAGGAAACCAACGTTAATATGTAGCACTTAAAATGGAAAGGGATCTATTTCTTCTTAACTGTGTCTTGTCGCACAAAATTCTGAAAAGCCATTGAAGGTAAATTGCTTGGTTTTCAATTTTAAAGCTGCACTTAACCAAACACCAACAGTCTCCAGATGTAGTGGCCGGGGGGGGGGGGGGGGAGCAACATATTCAGAGGTCTCTAGCACCTAAAATCACAACAAACACCCTATCAGCCTCTTGTCAACTAAAGACAACATTTACAGAGATAATAAATTGCCGTGATCATTTTTTTGTGTGAAAAGCCTTTTGAGGACCTTTTTTCATATACACTGAATAGTTTGGTCAATCCACTGATGAGTGCCAGATTAATCTGCAGCTAGGTGTCTGGGTCATACAGAAAAGAAGAATGAACCTAAGCAAATAGAGTGCTTTCCAAGGATCTTTCACTGGGGTAAACAAATGAGGATGATATTACATATATATATCCAGGTGGAGCTGACAGCAACCAGGGCTGGGTTCAATATCTAGGGGTTCCTTTTCAACAATACAACATTGAACCGTCTCAAGCCCCCACCCAGTAAGCTGGGAAAATTACACACCACCCATAGGTGCCTCTGAAAGGCAATACTTCCCCACTTGCAATCACAGAGTCTGAGTGTACCAAAGAAACTTTTAATGAAAGGAGGGATGTCACCTGACATTAATTAGGGAAAATGCCAAAGCAGGATTTATAAACCTAAAACTGTGAGCAGGACACCCACCCCAGAGTGCATGGGGCAGTCTTCTACCTCATGTTCTTGAGTTCTATAACCAAAAGTTCCTTAACTGTGCCTTCTCTGCTCCCTCACCATACCCCACTTGCAGTGGCTGTCCTTGGTCAGTGAGGACCCAGTGTTCAGAAGTGCATCTATGTGAGTTCACCTTCCATTCAGGGAAGAAGACACCTGGCTTGCTCTACCATCTGAGCACTTGCTCTGGCTGGCCACCTCACCGGCTGCTGTTCTTCACTGCCCGGCCACCCTGCCAGCCACTGTTTCTCGCCACCTGGCCACCCTGATGACTGCTCGCCAACTGATCGCTACTTTCATTGGCCACCCGTAAGTCACCTCATGCTGCCACATGCCTCTCTGCTGTGACCTCTGTAGGTCAGTCTCAGTGATTTTTAGCTCTCAGCAGGCTGGATAGAAACTCTGCCCCACCACAAGTGATTTCAGCTCTCACCAAGTACTTAACATAACAAAAGGCTCCTAAAGAAGCCTATTTAGCTCTATCTTTGAACTGTAGGACAGAGTAGGGAGGAAACGGTTAAATCAGACTACAGACCTTTAGGGAGAGTCCATACCTCCTGGATGGGACACCTGTTTCGACCCCTCTTACTTTCACAGGGGTCTGGCATTCAAGCCCTTGGCTTAACAAGGTCCTTTCACCTGAGGGGACCCCCTCATTTGGGACAGATTAAGCACAGTTCTGCTCCAACACAATAAAGACAACAACACTGATAACAGCATTTCACTACCCCTACATTCAGTACTAAAGTGATTTGTAACCCAATGCCAGTCAAAGCTGATCACTTTGAGCAACACCACTCTAACTTCTGGATATCTTGGCAGAGTAGGTGTGTTCATGTAAATACAGTTTGCTCCTGAAGTCTTTCCCCCTCCCAGCCAGCTGTCAGGGGAGAGTTCATTCAGACCCTGCTTACATATATACACAAACACACATACAAGATGTACTTGAAGCATGCCCTGTTGTATACCCACAACCAATCCTCTCTCTCTCTCTCTCTCTCTCTCTCTAGGTGCTTACGGTGCCCATCACCCAAGTATCAGAGTGACTCCCGAAATAGAATTACCGTGCAACAAGGTCCAGCAAGTTGACTGTATCGCTCCCTCCTCCTCCTTTCTAAGCTCCCCATAGAGCTTTGCAAAGTAAGACCCATGCAGCCCCATCCCTCTACCTCTACATCTGGTATTGCTGTTAGTGGCACTGTTGGTGGTGGGCTGAGTATATGTGAGGAGCCCCATGGATGTATTGCTGGGGGGGGAGGCGGGGAGAAGAGCAAAGTAAAATGTTCTTATATCCATATGAAGATAGGTGATACCTGTGTAGAGAGTAAGTCTCACACTGTATAAAGAACTGGAAGAGGGTCTTAAAGCATTTGTCTGAATTCACTGGCTTTGTTTTTGTCTTTCCCCATGAATGCTTTGCATGGTCAGGCTGTACCTACCCTTTTTGTTTTTCAGGAGGTGGGGCAGGGTTTAGCCTATGCTAATGATGATGGGAACAGTACAAATTGCACTTTACACAGGATTCTGCATTGGTCAAGGGCCAGTGACCATGGAAACTGCCACAGCTTGTGCCAAATGCAGCTGCTAGAGATGCTATAGCAACACACAGAGTGAGATATGCCAACACTCCACCACCCAGATGCCAGAGATACTAGCATTTACTCAGTTCCAAGCTCAGCATGTCTGGAATAAGAACAGAAGAAAAGCCCACTCAAGCACAGCTTTCCCCAGCCCCACTCAGCCATCACCACCTTGAGTAAAATTCATGCAAACCTCTTTCTGCTGTCAGCCAAGCACAGAGCTGGTTTAGGTAAACACTATCAGGGATTTCTTTCATCTCCTTCTCCAGAAATCATGCATGGAGCTTGCAGTCTGACCCAGCTGCCATCGTATTGGTGAGTGGCATAACTGCCCTAGTCCCAAACCCAATACTCTCCACACATTGAAGGGAAAAGTGCCATGGCTGCACCACTCCTTCCAGCTCCAGAAAAAGGACACTAGGACAACCATCTCCAAGAAGAAGGTAACATTTCACTGCAGCACTCTGGCTTAGCACACTAATATTTTAGTTTAAACCAGTTGCCTCCCCTATGAAGCTGGCAAATTCATGGTAGTTGTCCAAGGGGCTGGGTCCTTTCTTCATCCCCCAACAGGCCTTTCACTACCAGTTGGCAATCAGACTGAATTTTCAAAGGTAGCAAAAATCCTGCCAATGATAACCCAGACTCTGGGGTGCTGCACAGAGTGCGTGTAAAAGAAGCATAAAGTTCCACACTGCACTCCCCCAACTGGTGCCCTCTTTATGCAGTGCCAGAGCAGACACTTGTGGTGCAAAGCGTGCTGCAGATTCTGGCTCTGATTGCAATGCTCAAATCACCGAAAACATGAAACAAGCTTTCACAAAATATATACCATGTCTGTGCTTCAGAAATAAAGCGTTAGAAAGACAGAAAAACACATCTGAAATTCACCCTAAATTACGTACTCTTAAGAGAGGAGAGCTTTGTGATGACAACAGTTCTGCTCTCCCTATCTCCACTTCTTTAGTTCTAATGCTGAGCGTTTCTATTGCTTCCACACAAGAGAAAGTTTTGGGCCTGATTCTCTTTGCACATACACAAGATTTATGCTCCTGTAACTCGAATTACTTCAGTGGAATTACCCTTGATTCACACCAGGGATGGTGAGAGGAGAACCAGGCCCTTTGAGTCTTGGGATACAGAGCTGATTAGTTCCAAAATATTAGAAACAACTCTGAATCCCCTAAGACAAATTATCGGATAAACTGGATCAGAACCCAAAAGCCAGAAAAAGGATAGGACAGATGGCAAAGTGACTTAAGCAGTAACATGCCAACTGTTAGTGTGTGCCAAGCCTCGGAAACACCAGAGAACACAAATAATGGTTACATGTCTCAGGCTTTTGTTTCTATCCTAGCACTGTATGTGAAGATAAATGGAAGAGAAAAGCAGTGTGTTCGCCTTCTCCATGTAAACATGAAGCTGCAGTTGAGTAAGTAACATTAAGTCTGACATGGGGACGCTGTGAGGCATTACTCACCCTGAGAAGTTTAATGTATAATTTAGAAACATATCATCAAAATGGAAACATGAGAACCTCTTAAATAACTCTGAAGGGTATTCAGCTTGGAATCATACACAGTTAATATTTAGGAAAAGCTGCTAACGCAGTGGTGGAAATTTACCCCACACTGAATAATTTGATTTAGATGCATCCCAATATTGAAGCACTTTAGAGAGAACTCATTCATTTTCATGGGCCAGATTTAGGCTTTTTATTCATTATCACATGAAGTATAAGTATAACCTTTCTGTTTGACGCTCTAAGGCCATCAAAACTGAAAGATGTGATCCCCCTGGCTGCGGCTGAGTGTACCAGGCAATCAGTGCCAAGGAGCCTGCACCTGCCTTGCTACTAGGTATCATACATTACTCTCTTCAGAGTAACAGCCGTGTTAGTCTGTATTCGCAAAAAGAAAAGGAGGACTTGTGGCACCTTAGAGACTAACCAATTTATTTGAGAATAAGCTTTCGTGAGCTACAGCTCACTTCATCAGATGCGAAGTGAGCTGTAGCTCACGAAAGCTTATGCTCAAATAAACTGGTTAGTCTCTAAGGTGCCACAAGTCCTCCTTTTCTTTTTGCATATACATTACTCTTTGCAACTGCCCAGGTGCTAAAAGTGTATTAATTATTTCAAAGGCAGTATCACCAGCTACAAACCCCAGTAAAACATTACAGCCAATCACCGGGTAAAATGCACCAAGATTTTTTAAGAAAGGCTCTGAGTGTCAGCCTTCATTCGTAGGTCATTAGAAGAGACCTTTACTTCAGTGGCCAGTGTGAAATGTGCTTTGATGCTGGTCTACTCTCTCACTCTTAAGGGGGTAGGGGCCCCCTCCAGGTCAGACAGGAGGCATGCTGGCATAGGCAGTGGGGGTGTGCAGGAGAATTGCACTGCTGCTGTCTGCTACTCCCGTCCTCACATATGGTGGACTTTGGTTTCTGGGGCTGTCAGTCCAGCACCTTTCCCCAATAAGTGGAGGCATTTACACAGGAAATCTCCCCAGCCCTTGACTCTGCTGCAAGTATCCCTTTAAAGCTACCCATGATCTGAATTCCGGCATTAGGGATTTTGAGCATACCTGGTGAAATCACCACTGCACCCCAGAAAAATACACACCTGTTGTGATAAATTAGGGAAGCCATGTTAATGTGCTGGCCTCAGAGAGAATCTGGCTGGATAGTTCCCGCCTATTGTCTGTTTCCAGCACGATAACCCAATACCACACAGTGAACGATGGTGACAAGCTGCAAGGAAAAGGCCAGTGTGGCTGGACCTTCTGTGGTGCTTATTCAAGTTTCTCTGAGCTCTACATTGGTGCCAGTCCAGGATTAGTTGAGCTTTTTATTGGCAGAATGCCAAGGAAGCAGAAGACTCCTTAGAGCTGACTCCTTGAATTAGATTTGCATAGTTCACTGCAGTTGTAAGTTAGTGAACTCAGTTCAGTCTCTAGTGGACATCAGGCCACATAAGAAAAAACAGCACGCAATCTGGTAGGATAGTCAGGCTGTGCTCAGGGAGCACCAGAATGGATCCAGCATTTAGATGGAACCTGCATCCGCTCCAGCAGGGTGATGGCTCTGTGCCCATCCATTAGGGGTTACTGCTTCAGTGGGATTGAGGGGCTGCTCTAATGGCAGGTAATCAAAATCAGATCCTGAGATGGATGCAGAAAGAGGAAGAAATTCAGCAATGGAGCTAAAAGGGAATGAGGCAGAGAGAGCTGAAGGTGAGGAAGAGACGAAAAAGCTCCTAAAGCACTTGTGGACAGGCCCTTGGGAGAGTGTACCCTGGCTCTGCTGGGTCCCAGGTTCAATGGTTCCCTCCCTTCTTCTTCTTGCAATGCTCCCGAGGGCACAGTGGCAACTTTCCCCTCCCAAAGCTCCCAAGGGCACAGCAGTCTCTACACCCTATTTTATGGGTCTGAATTAAATCCACCCTTTAGGCACTACCAACCCCAGCTCAAATTTCTGTCTCTGAGCCTTTTAAAAGGAGAGTTCTTGGGATCAAAGCATAGGCCTGGACTCTCTACCAGTCTGAAAGCGACTTGCTGTGTGACCTTGGGCAAATCACTGCACTGCTATGTGCCTCAGTTTCCCCATGGGGGTGAACATCTCATCTGTCTCATAAGGAGGGTATGAGCCCCAATTCAGTAGTGTCTAAAACTCCGAAACCCTCAGTGCAAGAGAAGGGCAAAGTTGTATTAATTACCATTCCTGTGCAAGCGTGCACTTCTAGGGATGCTAATGTAAGCTGGGGAATGGTGGGGAACTTTCCTGGCTTATACACTACCCCGGTGGAATTGCCTAGCGAAAGGATCCAAGGCCTGACCTCAAGGGCTCCCCTTCCACTCTCCTTTATGGCAGAGTCCGTGTAACCCCAACAAGGCTGGGCCCAGGATTCCTGGGGGGACTCAACCCCCAACCTTGTTGTGGTCACTTAGGGCAGGGGCTAGGGTGTCCCCACTCTGGGGTGCTCTCTCTGCTCTGGATGCTTCCCTGACCCACTGATCATTACATACAGTTCAAAGCTAATACAATTTATTAAACAGCAACCAATTTTAAAAATAATGAAAAAATGGGAAAGGTGAAAGGAAAACCCGTCACCCCGCTCTGTGGCCCGGGGATGTCACATCCAGCGTCTCTGGCACGCCCGGGCAGTTCGCAGTCTGCCCCGGCCGCGCTGCAGGGAGGCGGGTCGGATGCTCGCTCCGGCGGGGGCCACACGCCCTCAGGCTCGAGGTGGCAGGGCCCTGCCCCCCAGCATCGCCCCCGCCTCATGGGGGTTACGATCCCCCCCAGGCCTGGCCTGCAGGGCCTCCTGGCGGGGGTGTCTCCCTGCGCTGGGCCCGCTGCCCAGGGTCCCCCTTGCTCTCCCCAGCTGCCCACGCACCCGGCTCCAGACGGCCCCGGCTCCGCTCCCTGGGCTGCTTCTCTGGCGCTCTCGGCCCCAGGCTCCTGCTCTCCCCTTGGCTCGGCCCTGCTCTGGCCCAGGCAGCTCCACCTCACATGGAGGGTGGGACCACAGGCTCCTGACTCCCTCACTGGATGCCTGCCCTTGTCTATCAGGCTAACCTAGAACGGTGGCCTCTTCCCACTGGTCCTGGGGACTGTCAGTCTGAAGGTGTTGATTTCTCATCCACCCTTCCCCTTTCTTTTGGTACGGGGAGAGGGCCAACCACCCCGCACTGAGTTTCAGAAAGGGGCCAGCAGTCCCCTTACACTAAAGCCACATACAATTGTTTTGATTGCTGGCAATGGCCCAGTTCAGTCGTATAAGAACTAATGTGAGCATTACAACATAAGCCACCCACACAGCACACACACGTGTTAATTATCTTATGGAAAGGCAGCGAGAGCTGAGGGTGTGTTCACAACAGCTGCTTTTTAAACCTTTAATATCTGTCTCCTTTTATTTATTTATTTCTAAAAATTACTCAAAGACCCTAATCTGCTCCACGGGCGAGCAGGTGGCAAATGTCACCTGTAAATCTAAGTGTGGGTGTGCATGTTGTCGACTGTATGAGAGAAATATCCAGGTGGCTACAGCCCTTCAATGAAGACAACAATGCCAAACCAACTGAAATCCAATCAAAATTGTTCCTGAGCTGAGATCTTCCTGCATAGCCACAAGGCACATGTCTGTCACACCTTTGTCCGGCTTGTCCTCGTCCCTCCCTCCACGAAAGCAAGTCGACGCCACACCATTCTGTTTTGTTGCGAGCACGTTCTTTCCATTTCTGGCTAAAGAGTTTTGTCATGGGATCAGCCCAGCGTGTTTTGGGTCTCCCCAGCAGTCGCTTGTGGTCTCTGGGGACCCAGTCACTGATGCGGGTTGTCCAACTATTGTCTTGCCTGCAGATTACATGACCTACCCATCTCTGCTTTGCGTTGTACATCGCCTGCACTACATCTGTCACCTCTTTACGCCTTCTGATTTCCTCATTGCCACACGTCTGCGGTGGAGTTAAATCACCTGAATGTGGTGATTCCTAATACAGGAATATAGGAGACGCCAGACTGAATCAGATCCAAAGTCCCTCTACCCCATTGTCCTGTGTCTCTCAATGTCCAGCACCAGATGCCTCAAATGAAGATTCACGAAACTTCACAGCTTGCAAATGTGAGAAAATTTGCCCCCCAAGAAGAGCTGATCCTAATACCTGATAACTAGAGATTTATTTAAATCTGGTAGTATGAGGTTTTACCCTGTTCCAATAGTATTTTTATTAGCATTAATTATTATGGCTCTGGATAGTCTTGTTATCTATATATTGGTTCGATCCCTGCTTCAATCGTACTATATTCTTGGCCTAAAAGACATTCTATGGCAGTGAATTCCACAGTCTAATTATATACATTGTGTGGAAAAGGATTGCCTTTTAATTTTTGAATTTGCCACCTCTTAACTTCATTGACTGTCCCTTTGTTCTTGTGTTACAAGATAGGAAAAATAAATGTTCCCATATAGTGCCTCTAGCACATGAGTTGTTTTATATGTTTATCATGTCTCTGCTTATTCTTCTTGTTTCTAAGGTAAACAATCCCAGTATTTTCAATCTCTCTTCATAAAAAGGTTTTCCGTACTTCTAATCATTCTTACTGTCCCTCTCTGAACCCTCTAATTCTGCAATATGCTTTTTGAGGTAGAGTCATCAGTACTCCTCACAGCATTTCAGATGAGGCTGCACCACTAATTTATACAGTGGTACTATAATATTTTCCATATTATTCTCCTTCTCATTCCTTCTGCATGCTAACATCTTGTTTGCTTTTTAAACTCTACTGCCCACTAATAGAAACACTGACAAAACAGTGGCTGGCTGCAGTGACCCCAGCTTTCCACCTTCTGTACAGATTCAGGGCCAGACCCACCTCCTTCTTGGTATCACTCCCAACTTGCCATTAAATTGCAAAAACCTTGCACTTCTCCCAGCAAAACCCCATCAGCCCTTTCTCGATGGGATGTGACTGACTCATCAGGCCACGAAGGCCCCCCTGGGGTGGGTCTCTCTCAATCGCTCCTGTTCACGCTGTTCCACTTTGTATAACATACATGACTAGTCAGTGGGCCAACAAGAGAATGACTCAGAAGCCTGGGGACTAGGACACCCTGGTTCCAGACCCTGCCCCAATGAATACATATTTATACAAGCAGAACAGCTTCAGCAGGAGAGATCGAGAGAGCTGCACCCAGAGTACCCTTTAGCCTGGGAGTAATCTGGAGCAGGGATTTGAATCCAAGCCTCCCAACAACCCAGCCGAGTGCCCTAATCACTGAGCTATTTGGTATAATGGGGGCGAGGGCAGAAGCAGCATTATTTCCTCCTCCTCCTGTTTTGTTAGTCTAGCCTTTCATTTCCTTTGTGTTTTGCTGAAAATTCTGAAAATGTTACTTTCAGTTCATGTCCAATCAATTTCTTTTTTTGATTTTTTGGAACTGCCAGCAAATGAAAAAAAGTAAGTTATTTGCACAAATCTACTCTGAATACTTTACTTAGGAAGTGTTGGGAGCTAACCTGTGGATAATACTGTGAGAGGACCTGACCCACTCTCCATGCAGCCCCTCAGGAGGAGAGCGCTGCACCTAAACCTCCCCTCTTCTAATCCAGTGTGATATGGAGGAGCCCCAGTTTCCCCTTCCAAGGACACAGCTCTTCTGATCCTGAGTGAAGTGACTGCTTACCTGTTATTTAAGGAGCGGGAGACGCTTCTTAGCATACATTCACAGAGGATGCATTATTGCTCTGACTGCTTTGGAAGAGCTTTATCACACATATTTTTTAAAGCCCTGATAAGGTTCAGAGTCAGATAAGAGAACAGGAACACAGGCCACCTTTTTATAATATTTTCCCAAATCCTGGCAGCTTATCTTCAGAAAATATCAATATATCCCCCAAATCCTTAAAATATTAATGGGAGCTGGTGAAATCAGCCTCTCTGACCTCAAACAGTATAGAAGTAAAATTTACACACTTATCAGTTCAAAAAAGGGAACCAAAGTACCAAAACATGCATCCCTGACACTCCATATAGTAGGTACCTGTATCTATAGTGAAAGATAGAACCAGTTGGGCTGATGTGTTAATTTTTACTGAAAATGATACTTCACACACATTTCACTTGACAACTTTCCAAACACAGACGTGGAGGGGTAACATCCATCCAGCTGAAGTTTCTACCCTTTCCAAGGTTGCAATGCAAGAGGGGATGGAAGTGTGATGGGGGCTTTACGCTGCATTGGACACATGACTGGTGATGAAAAGATGCATAGGAGGCTGGGAGGAAAGATTGCTGCTTCTTTGGTTGGTTTTTACATTCTCTCTCTGGTGTACATCACAGACCCAGAGCGCTGTATGGGTGCCCTTTGTATAAGTTTGAAATCTAAACCAATAAATACATAAATCAGAGGATACTGAACATGGGGATAGCTCAGAGAAGCAGACACCAGTGTAGAGAGAGAGGCCTCCAGGAACGCTAGGAGGGTACGTGTGGGTATGAGGAGTGCAGAGAGAATTGCCCGCTTGTGAAATGGCCCCTTGAGACACAGGAGTCATGTAGCAGATGCAAGCCTGGTAACGCTGTATGCTCCCTGTTCATGTTCAGACACCACAGAGCCTGGGAGCAGGATAGGCCTTTCTGACACCCACTCTTCCTAGTCTCTCACCTTCCTGAGCAGAACTGGAGCATGACTGCAAAGGACAGGCTGATAACACCTAGCCCTTGTTCATCTTCACAGCACCTTCATATGCACTGAGTGACATCCTCACCTTACACTGCGGGGCACAGGTTGTATCAGCCATTTCACAGACTGGGTTAAAACGCTTAGAAAACAATCTATGAGGAAAGGTTAAAAAAACTGGGCATGTTTAGTCTTGAGAAATGAAGATTGAGGGGGGCGGGATCTGTTAACAGTCCTCAAATATGTTAAGGGCTTTTATAAAGAAGACTGTGGTCAATTGTTCTCCATGTCCACTGAAGTAAGACAAGAAGTAATGGGCTTAATCTGCAGCGAGAGAGATTTGTGTTAGATGTTAGATATTTCTAACTCTAAGGGTAATTCTGGACCAGGGTTCCAAGGGAGGTTGTAGAATCCCCATCACTGGAGGTTTTTAAGTACAGGTTGGACAAACACCTGTTGGGGATGGTCTAGGTTTACTTGGCCCTGCCACAGCGCAGGAGGCTGGACTTGAGGACTTCTGGCACTGGGTGTGCTCAGAGCTGGGGAAAGGGCATTGGCATTGCCATACTCAGATCTTGGCCATGGTGGCTAGTTTGTATGGTAATATCCATGAGCAGATTTCAGCAGAGAAGGGGACAGGAGAGATGAGATTCCTGTAGTTAAAAATAGACAGAGAAGAGAAGGCTGCTAGAACATGGAGTCTTGTTTATCAGCATCCAGTCAAGCAGCAAGAGCTGAAAGGAAGCATCCCATAAATAATACTGAGTGAATCTGCTCTGATCCACTAACCCACTTTAGGCACGTTTACAGTGAAGAATAAAACAGAAATTTAAACTTGATTGTTTTGATTTAGAATGCAGCTGTGCAGTGCTGATGCATATTCTGTGATCCCAGCTTCTCAGTCGGAATTCAAACTCAGATAACTGACTAGATGGGCAGTAAAAATGGCCTTTCGTTCTTGGGGGTGGATCACAGCTACAAACTCTGTACACTGCACGAGGAGAATGCTACTTCACTAAGTGGGTCAGAGACGGGCTTCTCTCTTCAGCAGCTAAGGTAGGTGAGACCCAGGACCCTGTCATTCACACACAATATGAAGAGAACTTCCCCAACAACCTAGCAACTGCTCTGAATTATTCTGGGGAAGTTCTGTGGCCTGTGTTATACAGGAGGTCAGACTAGATGATCACAATGGTCCCTTCTAGCCTTGGAATCTATGAAGCCATGCAACATCCCCATAGTTTCATGAAAGCAGCAAGTGGGAGATCTCATCAGTTCTTCCACCCTTGGTAGGCAAGAGCTTTCCTCTGACACTCAGCCCCTCTGCACTACAGTGGGATGTCAGCACCTTGTGATAGGACACAATGTTAATTAAAACAGGGATTTTTAATTTAAATTAAAAAATAACTGATGGCGGGAAGGCAGGCTCAGCTCTCCTTCAGGGGGCACTAGCTTTCAGTACAAAAGGCCCAGTTTGGATATTGCCAGCTCATTGTTTTGCATTGTTATAGGAGCCCTTAGAATTGTTCAGCCAGCTGAACCCTTGGACGCAGAGAACATCCAAGAGGCTTTATCACTCTTTGCCCGCAGGTGCCCTCATGCTGAGGTGTGATTATGCTGCAGTGAGTCTGACCCACTAAAAAGCCTATAGTAAAAGTTAGGGGAAATTGCCTTAGTTTGAATTAAATAAAATGAATTTTATTTGAATAATTTCTTCCTGTATCCTCTGATGAAATAGTTAGATGGTTCCCTGTGAGCCCTCTACTTGAATTACTGGATGTCCCAGCCGTAGCGTTTCGGGCATGGAAATTCTCAGCCTTGTGTCACAGAAACCTGAACTTCACCTGCTCAAGACTCAGAGATGGACACACCATGCACCATCTACCGTCACTATATGAAACAGCTCTAAATAATACTAAACCCCAGCATGTATTGGATCTTCAGATTTGCTTCCATCACACCATTCTTACGAACCAGAGAGAAGATGACAACTACATTCTTCTAGGCCATTTACAATTTCCAAACTCTGTACAGACATTAGCAAGCCAGGAGGCAAAGCCTCTCTGTGAGATGGTGCATGTTGTCATCCCATTGCACAGACAGGAAGCTGAAGCAGAGAAGTGAGTCAACTTCCTCCATGTCACAGAGGCAGTCTGTAGCAGGGATAACATTTGGTTCCCAGTCCAGTGATCAAAGAACTCAGACCTGCTGTCTCTAGATGCCTGCTTGGTGCCTTCCTCTGTTAAGGTCTCTGGTTATGAAAAGTGTAAGCAGATACAATTAGCTCACACCACAGGTACTGATGACCCAGGGCATTCCACACTTTTCTTTAACTCTGCTCTCTCTTTTCTTTTTCTATTAGTCAGCAACATCTTCATTTTAAGCACATCCTGCCCTGCCAAACTGAGCCTCTAAATAACCTCACACTTCATCATTTCTTTTCATTCAGCAGTTAACTGTCTGATGCAGCAGAGGCAGCCAGCTCTGCGAAGGGAAGGCATTTGCTGCTGTTTTTCTTAAGTGTATTTTAATAATGCATTTCACATGTGAGAAATGGCCATTGGGAGTGCAGTCTGAGAGCTGGAAGGCACAGCTAGACCAAGAGGTAATCTGAGGATGAGCAGCACCAGCTTGCAGTTTAAAGACTATTAATTACTGTTACTTTCCTGGAGATTATTTGAAAATAATCGGGCTCCTGATTTAGGTTTAATGAGCAATTATTCCTTTTGTTTGTTGA